GGCGGATGACCATGTTCCGGTGGCGGACTCGCCTCTCGGAGGAAACGAGAGGCGAGTGGACCAGGTCCCTCATAGGACCCGATCGGCTGGACAGGTGGGTGGACCGGACTCACGGTGAGATGACTTATCGTCTCACCCAAGTGATGTCCGGCCACGGCTGCTTTAACGAGTACTTACACCGTATTCGTAAAGCAGCCGCGTTTTAGAAGATCTGTGGAGTACATTCGTTATGTTTTTGATTTGGTACCCTAGATTAGTTAATTCGTCAGAGATAAAATCTTTATCAGTAGAAGGGTGAAGATTGCANGATAAAATCTTTATCAGTAGAAGGGTGAAGGTTGCGGATGACAATTCTGAACGGTTTGTTTTCTTTTGACTGGTAGGAATGGAAGGAGATGTTTTCACTTTTGAAAAATTTAATGACTGATCTGTATGAATCAGGGCTAAATGTTTGTAATTTAACACCTTTGGTAGAGCTTTTACAGGAAAAACTAGATGCGTCGGTGAGTTCTTTCGTTTTGAGGCAAAAAGAATTGTAATTTATTTGTGTTTGGATGAATATAGGTGGAGGTAGACTTGTTTTGTTAGTGATATTTTCTACATTTTGTTCATTAGACCTGTCCATGGGAACGTTTTCAGTCGCAGGAGAGATTGGTGTGTATCTGTTTTGAGAGATGAATATACTCGTATCAGATTTTTTTGGTTGGGGTGAGACGTTATTAGGCGATCTGATGCGTTTATTTTTATCGACTGTTTGCCAGTCATTTTCGCTATCCGAGAATTCAAAGAGTGATTTATCGGTAGACTGGGAAAATCTTGATTTAGATAAGACTAACGGTGAAATAGTTTTTTTTTTTATAGTATTCATAGTTGAATTATTTGTTTAAGTTGTTGGGATAATTATAGTAGATAAGATGTTCGAGTAATTGACCTCGAACCGCCGGCGGCCGTACCGACAGCGGCGGCCGTTTGTTTTGTAGTAAGTTGTGAAACTGGTTTATTTTAGTGAGCGGTGTGTTGTGATAGGAAATAATTGCATAATACCTGATTTCTGTAGTGTAGACTCGTCTGTACGCTATCGATAGCTATAAATGCGGTTCGCTCGGAAGTAACAAACGTGTTGCTCAGTTGGGAGTCGAACACGAACTGAAAGAAATATTTTACGATAATTTTGTAGTACATAAATAAAATATAATAAGGTTAAGGTACTAAAATAAATAACACGTTCTTTTTTAATAGTAAAATATACATTCAAGTAATCATTAGTATTTTATAAATATAAAATTTTACATTATTTTTAGAAAAAAAAACAAATTATATNTTTTACATTATTTTTAGAAAAAAACAAATTATAATATTTTATGAACTTCGTTTGTCATAGGGATGTATTCAAACATTATATCGTATACAATCAAACAATATGCTGTAGAGTTGGTCGGAAAATTTTCATCGGATTCAAAATCTAATCTAATATCAACTGTCGAATTTTTTAATTTTTCGTTTTGCCTTGAGATTTTATCTAAACTCATATTAATTCTGGTACTAATAAGTTGCAATTATGATGTACTTATATAAAGTATAATGTATATTATCATTCAGGGAACATAATGTAGAGGATATTATTTCAAACATGATAAAGTCATTGAGGGCGTGTGAATTGTTTATATCGGATAGGTAAAGTGCACACTCGTGTTCCTTAAATATATATATAGTATCAAAAAATTGCTTGTCAGTAACCGAATAGTAATTAATATACACACGAATTTCAGAAAAATATTTCAAGTAAAGGAGGTAGTCAGGTGATTATGGAAAACAATATTTAGAAAACTAGAAAAGTTATTAACTTAGGTAACATTGACGGTTAGCTCAAATACACACCCAAAGAAAAACCTCAATCACTTTTGATAGAGAAATTTTATCAAGGGTTTATGATAATGTTTTATTAATACGAACAAAATAACTATTCTATAAATAATTATTGTTCAAGACAAGAAAAAAAATTATCATATTAATAAATATATCATAGATTCAATAGTAATGATATTGTATTTATCAAATTGAACAATGAATTTATTATATAGATCGAGGTTTTTCTCTGGGTGCAGAAATGTGACGTCACTATCATAATATGAAATAACAGTGGACTGCTCTGTTTGTGTCCACAATAATGATCGTTCATTTAAGATTATTAATATTTTTATTTATAACTTATATTCATAAGAATAACATGATTGTTTTTCTTTAAGAAATTCATAAACTATACTTGTCAGCTCTTTTTAATCTTATCTTAATAATAAAACACAATGTGTAAAATCCTAAACGTCTTATAAAATATCAAAGTGAATTGTATATTATTTGAATGTATTAATTTATATATTTGATGATATTTTATATATTAATTTCTATATTTTATGATTACTTGTCAATAAAATATTTAGCTATATATATATATAGCTTATATATATAAAAACAAACTAAAGGGATTTTCTCCTACCGATTATCACCTTCATACGTGTAAAAAAAAAATCAATTTTGCTATATAAGTGGAGAAACAGCATATATACGTTTAATAATTCGTTTTCATGTGTTCTGCTAGTTTCTTTATGTTCATCAGTCTTATTTTTTAATACAGAAGATCGAAAATCATTAATAACGTAAGTAATATATAGTTACTTTTTTCAAAGTAAAATAACTTTGACAATAATATTTTTTTAATTTTCAGTAAAATTATTTCAGTATATTCCTTGAGTTACATTTCAAATTGGGGAGAAATAATTCAAAAATCGAGTTAAAGTATGCTATATTTTACATATTTATATTATTTTTTTTCTGAAGCAATGTTTGTAAAATTAATTTTTAATCTTTAGGAATATATTTTCACTGTGTTCATTTGCAAATATTGAAAATAAATTTTTCATCGAGGTTTAAATTGCTCTTTTTGTTAAAGAATAAAAATCACAGTAAGTTATTAAAATTTTTGTTACTAAACTCTACTATTCAGTTCGAAGTGTACATATTTCTTTTTATTAATTTTAGTCGTAAAAATTTTATACAATGCATCTTCCATTAAGCCTAAATGATGTCGAAGACATCGTAAAGTACTTGAAAGCGCAAAATGTTTGCCAATTTAATATATTGGCAGACATTTTGTACGAATCCAGAAATTTTACGGTGTCTGAGAAAGGCATTAAATATGAAGATGCATTAAAAACTCCCGTGACGCTTGATATGATTAGAAGTGACTGTCAAATTTATAAATCTGAAATCCGTTCAGGCGTATACAATTTATTGTTTGGGGAAAAAAATTATTTGAAGTTCAATTTTTTTTCTATATTATCACATAATGTAAATAATGAAATTATGTACTCCATATGCACAACTGACGATTGCATACGTGATATGGCGTATGATCAAGATAGCTTTACAATAAAATATATTAAAGATCAAATATGTATTAATCAGAATAGCATGTACTATTTAATTTTCAATTTTCCATCGCAATTCAAATGTCATTATTGTGATGATCAATTATTTAAATGGTTCATTTAAAAAAGATTATGTATATAGTATTTCTTTTTTTTAATTTTTGAAAATGTTGAAATAATTATTGATTAATAAATGTAATTTTTTTTTTATAACTTTGTAATAAAATATTGATGAATACCTAAATGTTTTTTTTCTTTACTTTATTAAAATTTAATTTTTTTTCTGATTACTCTAATAATAATTAATCATATGGTATTAAATGATGAAAAGAAAAAGTTAATATTATGTTTTAGTAGATGACTTATAAAGGTATAACTTTCAGAATAGTATTTATACTATTATTTGTGTAGTTTTTAGAAAATGATAATATAAAATAACTGTTTTCATACATATAATACAAATAATATTATATTTATGTATATATGTATATTAAGGTAGCTATGGACAGCTTGAAAAATAAATTGAACCAACAAGCTGAAGTTAAAGGTTATTTAAAACTCAGCGATCTCAAAGAAAAAGAAAAATATGAAGTAATAGCTATGAAAAATGTTAATACAAGAAATGGTACGGTGGTGGTTGCCCAACTCATAGACAACAACCATGTGTTTATACCAAGAATAAAATTAACAGATGAAGAAATTAACGAATACAATAATAATAATAAAAAAATATTCTTAAAATATAATGGCAAAATCGGAAATGCTTACATATTTGATTTTCAATAAATTAAATATTACTCTATATTTTACTCATGTTTTTATTTAAATTTTTATGATTAGTATATTATATAAAGAATTTTTACACGGTCTTAAATAAATAATAATAATATTGACTGTTGAATAATTTAATTATTTAAATAAAAAATAATCATTCTATAAACAATTTTATTGTGTGTTTATATATATATATATATAATTATTACACATCTGTAGTTAAAGACTAACTATTCAAAATGTATTGATTCTAAGAGAATCAATCTAAAAAGAGAAATTACATTTAACGTAATTAAAATTTCAATTTTCAATCTATACTATAGTATAGTATATTTCAAACTATACAAACAAACTTTATTAATTTTTTAAATAATTTATCACTTACGGTATTATATTGAAAGATATAGCATTTTTTTCATATGAAATAATACCTAACACAATATTGAAATGTTACTATTCAATTAAAAAAAAAAAAAATTTTAAATGAATATTACACATTGAACTGAATAGTTGTATAGTAATGTATGGTTTGTGAAATATATATATATATTTTGTTAAATAAGAACTTATTTACTAATCTTAGTTGTCAATATGTCGAGTTCATATGAATATGTTTGCGGTTGCGGTCGATCGTTTATCGATAATGACGGATTAAGATTGCATTATAAATTGAACCTGGATCATCGACAAACGGTTATTGCTACTGTTGGTTGTCTACAAAAACGACTCTTGTCGACACGTACAATGAATGGTAAGGTGACCAAACGTAATTGTATGCATACAGTAGGTTCGGGTTTTATGCCGATAGAAACAGCTCTCGGAGGACGTGTAAAACATTTTTTTTTTAAAAACAAAACGGAAATTGACAAAATTGGAAATTTTATTCATTACATCGGTGCTGATTTGTTTAATGTATTGAAAGATTCGAGCGAAGGTGGTTTAATAAAATTTAACGTTCTTCNCGAAGTTGGTTTAATAAAATTTAACGTTGTTTTGCACACAACTTATTTACATCAAGTTATGGGTGAACTGAGGGACGTCTCATTTAAAACACGCAACAAAACCATCGATTCAGGCACTGATTACACCGGTGTTTTGAATAAAATCAATAAAAAACTTGCCCAGAAACAAGAAACAATAGAAACCAGACGGACTACTTTTGAGGGTGACAAAATTTTCACCGTTGCGTGGTAGTTCGTTCATTGATCTTCCATCGTGTATTAAACACAAACACGCTATTATAAATGTTCAAAATAAAACCGACAATCAATGTTTTAAATGGGCGATTCTATCGAGATATAATACAAAAAAAAAAAACAAAGATCAGTGGAATGCGGGTTATCTCGATTTAGAAAAAAATTCAAATATTAATTTCATCGGTATTGATTATCCTACTCCAATTAAACAAATAAATAAGTTTGAACGTAACAACCCGTTTTTGTTCATCAACGTGTTTGCATTGAACGATAAAAATAATGTTTATTNTTTGCATTGGACGATAAAAATAATGTTTATCCATTGCGTATTACCAAATTACGTTCGAACACCGAACACATCGATGTACTTTACATCACAGAGGGTGGTAATAGCCATTATTGCTACATACAAAATTTCTCTAGATTAGTCTCCAAACAACGAAGTGCCGGTCATTATCATGAAATCTATTGTAAGCGCTGCCTCAGCGTGTTTACGGACCGAACGCTATCGTCCCGTCCGAGTGGACAAGCGGGTCTGGATGAACATTTGAAAATGTGTGGTAAGTTTAAGGAAGCGCGAGCTGTCCTACCCCCAGTCGATTCGGACCAGTCAATATTGCGCTTCAAAAATACGAGACGGGAGGAACCGGTACCGTTAATAGTTTACGCCGACTTGGAAAGCTTACTTCACCGTGCAGACAAACGAATATTGAAAAACTGTGTTGTTATCCAAAACCACGAGACAATGAGCAGTTGCTTTTTCGTTGTACACGATTCCGATATATTACCGGATAATATGTGTGCTGATTTGCCGAACTATCCGGTCTTGTATCGTGGACCGGATGCAGCAAAAAAATTCGTCATGTCATTGGTAACTATAGCTAAACGAGTATCTGATATTATGAAAATTAACATTGAAATGGTGCGGTTGACGGTGGAGGAACAAAACCGTTTCGATAATGCTAAAAATTGTGAATCGTGTTCGATAATGTTTTCCGATAAGGTCTATAAAGTCAAAGACCACAACCATTGGACGGCAAAATTCCGTGTCGCTTTATGCAACAACTGCAATTTAAAACGACGTACTCCGGCTTTCATGCCGGTTATCTTACACGGTCTTTCCAACTACGACGCACACATGATTATACAAGACACAATTATACAAGACACAATTATACATACGACAAAGAAGATATAAANTTATACAAGAAATGACATACGACAAAGAAGATATAAGTGTAATAGCTCAGTCCGAAGAAAAATATATTTCATTCAGTAAAACTATTAGTGAATACTTTCAAATAAGATTTATAGATTCGTACCGGTTCCTACAAGCTAGTCTGTCTAAAGTAACATCAACATTGTCGCGTTCGGATTTCGTGCACACGTTGAACGTGTTTCATTCGTTGAACTTTNAACGTGTTTCAATCGTTGGACTTGGTGACAAGGAAATCGGTTTTTCCATATGAGTACGTGGACTGTTGGGAACGGCTTAATGAAAAACAGCTTCCACCACGCAGTGAGTTTTACAGTTTGATAACATGGTCTACGGTGTCCGAGGATGATTATGAGCATGCAAAAAATATGTGGCGACATTTTGGATGCAAGACGCTTGGCGAATACAGTGACAAGTATTTACTTGTCGACGTTATGGTATACAGAAAAAAATTATATATATATATATATATATAATTATTATTATTATTATTACAGGTTCTAGCTGATGTATTTGAAAATTTCCGTAAGGAAAGCTTGAAAAATTATAAACTAGACCCTGCACACTACTTTTCATCTCCGGCCCTTTCGTTTGACACCATGTTAAAGTACACAAACGCACACATTCAGTTGTTATCGGATCCAGATATGCTGTTAATGTTTGAACTGGGTATACGTGGGGGTCTAACACAAGTAAGCATAATTATTGAATAAAAAAATTAATAAAATTTATCAAACTAAAAGCAATTACTAAATATAGGTTAATCAGCGATATGCACGTGCGAACCACCCGGGCTTAGTCGATTACAAACCCAATGAAGCACACAAGTATCTTCAATATTTAGACGCTACTAATTTATATGGCACGGGTAAGAATTGTACTTATATATTTTTATACACGTATACAATAATATTTGTTTATTTTTACAGCAATGATGGAACCCATTCCGTTTGGCTATTTTGAGTGGTCGACTGTTACATTGGAAGAGATACTCAACACACCCGACGACGGTGAATACGGTTATCTTGCAGAGGTCGATGTAGATTATCCTCGAGAACTACACGATTTACCTTTTTTTCCTGTTAACGAAAAACCGCCATTAACGTCTTCTAAATGTAGTAAACTGATGACTACACTAGATCCCAAACGTGGTTACATTGTACATTACCGAGCTCTAAAACAAGCTGTAAAACATGGTGTGGTAGTTACCAAATTGCATAAATGTATCAGATTTATGCAATCTCGTTGGTTGGCTCCTTACATTCAGCTTAATACGGATTTGCGCAAAAAAGCGATCACCACGTTTGGACAAAACTTACCCAAAACGATGATCAACTCAAACTACGGTAAGAATATATATATATATATATACAAATATTTTTTTAAATTATTTTTGACTTTATAGGAAAAACTTTGGAGAATGTTAGAAAACACCAAAATATCAAACTCGTATGTAACCCGGAGAAATTGTCAAAGTTGGCTGCAAAACCGTCGTATAGCCACAGCACCATATTCAATGAAGATTTAGTTGCTGTTCACATGTACAAGGAAAGGATTAATTTTTATAAACCAATTTTTATCGGGCAGGCAATATTGGATATCAGTAAAACTATAATGTACAAATTCCATTATGAAGTTATGTTACCGTTATATGGACCGGAAAGGCTCATGTTATGTTACATGGACACCGATTCTTTTATCTACCTAATTTTGACTAATAGTTTTCACGATGATTTGAAAAATTACCTGCTCGAATATTTCGATACATCCAATTATCCAACCGACCACCCGTGTTACACCGATAAACGTAAAAAACAACCGGGTACGTTTACTGACGAATGCAAGGGCATGCACATGCGAGAAATCATCGCATTATTGCCCAAAGTCTATGCATATTTGACAACCCTGCAAAACTACAGTGATCAAGTGTTTACGAGAGACGTCGATGAAGTGAAACGATTGAAAGGTGTGGGTCAAGGTGTAGTCAAACACGAAATCAAGATGGTTGATTATTTAAATTGTTTGCGGGACAGGCTCAAACAAATACGAAAGAAAATGTCGTTAATACGTTCTAAACATCACCGCGTTTCAACGGTAGAAATTGATAAGCTCGCATTGTCCAACAACTATGACAAGCGTGCGATGGTCGGTGACGAACGTGAATACAAAGATGTGTACACAAAAGCGTGGGGACATTATTCCCTACAAAACTCGAATGTCAACGAATAATATTTATTTATATATCAATGTATGATAACGCATAATAGAGTAGTCATATAAATAATATGTATTTAAATTTTATTGAATTAAATGTATGCAAATGTTTAATAAAATAAATTATAAAAATGTTCTACAATTATTGATTTGGTTATGTATTATATACTTACATATATATATATACACACACACAAACTGACAGAATAAACAAACAGCATATAATTAGTTAAATTTATTTTATTGAACAAAGTAATACATCAAGTATATGTAAAAAATAATTATAATAATAATAAAAGTATTATGAACTATCAGTTAACCACTGTTTCAAACACATTACTTTGTATAAACTACACACTTTGTGGTTGTTCATATGTCTGATACAACGTGGTTGGAATTCTTCACATAATTTTCGTAGTGGTGGGCACTCTTCTTCGATTTCGTAAACATTTTGCCCGGGTAAATAATTTTGCAATATTTGTTTTTTCTGCACGCCTTTCACGTAGATACTTTCACACCGTAGCAGTGCCATTATTCTTGGCAACTCGGAATATTCGACGTCACCGATATTTGCGTCCAAACCTTGATGATATTTTTTTACCCAGTAGTTGATCTTCGTATCGTAGCGAACGNACCTTGATGATATTTTTTTACCCAGTAGTTGATCTTCGTATCGTCTTCGGCGGCGAACGATTTTGACATTTTGAATGTCCAGTGAGCGAGAGACATTGAGTTCAAATCTATAGCGGACATTTCGTTGATCACAAACGAACGATTGGTCGCCACCACCCCTTGTATATCGACAATCATTGTCGTGAGAAATCTGTTATCGGTATCCATGAGTTGTGTTCCGGTCCAAAACCCAACCATTTAACGTAACACTTATTTCCGCGTGTACGCAACACTCGTTCTACAAGATACGTCTCCGGATACTGTGTGCGAGTCAACTCTTCGGTGTAAAACGTACCCTGAATGGGATTTCCCTGGTAATCTTCCAAATAATATGTTGGCGGCAATGTACGTTTGACCTTGATTACAGTGAAAAGTTCACTGCTCCAGTTGGACAAATAGCCCTTGTCAAACACGGATTTCGTTTTGCTAATTCTCACTTTGTCGCCTACTCGAAATTTAATCGGTAAATTATCGGGTAGAAATTTTATTCAATGGTTCGATTATAGGTGCTAGTTTTTGTTGAACGCTAGTCATCGTCTCGGATTCATTACGACGCAACTCTGTGTATTTTCTTCTAATATTCTCTCGGTCTTGATCCAATAACTTCATCGTGGATTCTTTTTTCTTTTTCTCATTATTATCGTTATCNGTGGATTCTTTTTTCTTTTTCTCATTATTATTGTTATCATTATTATTATTATTATTTTCAGCATTCATATTGTTACATACGTATCAAACTTATACCTGTATCGACCACTGTCACGTGCGAAATCCGTACATATTACTGCGAAGCCATATTTATCATTTTCCCAACAATGTCTGCAAAATTCTTTGAATTCATTAAATTTCATATCACAACACACGTATTCATCGTACGCGTGTCGCAAATTGACTTCGTCTTGTCGAAACAACACCACCACATTTGCATTATCTCGCAACATTTGTTTTTGTATGCGAGACAGGGTCTGTGAGAAGAAAAAAACATCAACCCTTTTATGTCGACCGCGTGCAAAATGATCGCACATTAANGACCGCGTGCAAAATAATCGCACATTACATTCTGTTTTTCCATGACCACATCGTCAAAAATAAACACCGAATTGGGTAGAACCAAATCCACGTGTGGTACATCATCGCCATTTTCAAATGTGAACAACTGAATTCCTTCGATTCCTTTCAATACTTGAATTAAAAATTGATATTTGTATTGACCCAAAGACTTGGAATATATATATACGTTTTCAAATCTCAAACCATTCGAATCGCACAAAAGTGTAAAAATTAAATTGGTTTTTCCACAATTTGACGGTCCGCATATGATAGCTCGTATAGTGTTTGGCAATAACTTTCCATGTTTATATTGTTGATGTAGTTGTTGCAAATCTGCTTGATCGTCAAAATTGACAACGGCTAGCGTTTCGTTCTGTTTTTCAAAACGCATCGCAAATCATTTATTTATTTTTCTATTATAATTATTATTAATTATATTAATATTTAAACAGTAACATATCTTTTGTGCTATTAAAAATGTTATGGTTTATTAAATTTTGTAATCTTTTGTTTTCCTTTTATACTTTTTTCACTATCACCAGAGAGCTCTTTTATTTGTTTATTTTATATTTTTTTTTTTTACTATAAATATAATAGAAATTTGTATTTTCACATTAAAAGTGAAAATGAAAGAGCAACGGTCGCAACGACGTCGTGGTGTACGACGGAAACGAGGTTCCGGTATTGTAAACTCAGTAATTAACAGTCTTCCGTTCGAAGCTCACGTGCCAGGATATCAGTTCGCGGGCCCCGGAACTAAATTACAAAAACGTTTGATTCGTGGTGACCGTGGTATCAATCCATTGGATGCAGCATGTCGTGAACACGATATAGCATACGCCAAGAGTAATTCTCTTAAGGACCGTCATCACGCCTATAAAATTTTAGAACACCAAGCGTGGGAACGAGTACGTGCCAAGANTTTTAGAACACCAAGCGTGGGAACGAGTGCGTGCCAAGGACGCGAATTTATCAGAACGTGCAGTGGCTTGGGGTGTGACAAATGCGATGAAGTTGAAACGCAAACTTGGTATGGGATTCAAAATAAAAAAAATAAATAAAAAAGTTGTGCCAAATTTACAAATTACAGCACAAAAAGCACTGCTTGCAGCCAAACGCAATATCAAGATGAGTCCCATGCACATACCTCGCATAATAAATATCCCGAAAAGCGGAGGAGTGTTACCATTAATTCCTATATTTGCCGGGCTGTCGGCACTAGGAGCATTGGCCGGTGGTGCCNATTCCTATTTTTGCCGGGCTGTCGGCACTAGGAGCATTGGTCGGTGGTGCTGCAAATGTTGTAAAGGTTGCCAATGAGTTCAACCGTAGGGGTGTTAAAGTAGGAAATGGAATGTATATTCGACCATACGGTACCGGATACAAGATTGATAAAAGAAAGCAAACAAGCAAAAAAATAGAATCAAAAAAACGAACAAAAAGTGTAAATACAAAACAAAAAAACTAATATCTCAGCTACCCAATCGTGCGTTATTTGACGATGAAATAAAAAATTTCGCACGTCACGTGCTCGATTCTCATGTATTTCGCGGTGTATTTTGTCGTGATACACTGCCACGTACACCACCTCGTATAAACGAGATGGGCGTAATCAATTTGGATTTATCGAGCAATCGTGGCACTCATTGGGTGGCTTACAGTAAACGTGGTAATCACGTAAAGTACTTTGATAGTTTTGGCAATTTACCTCCTCCATTGGAAGTAATACGGTATTTTAAAAGATGTACTATCACGTATAACTACAGAAGCTATCAGACATTTGACCAGATCAATTGCGGACACTTGTGTTTAAAATTTCTCATGAAAAATGTCGTCAAGCGTAAAAGCATCGTCGCTGACAGTTAGCGGTAAAGGATCAATAATCGAATGTAATTTTAATCCACACATCGATGTTTCCGATAATTGTGAAATCGGACTGTTAAGCTTACACACTTGGAACACGATGCCAAACATTGATGAAAGTAATAATGTAATTGTTTTTTCTAAGCCCGGTCATGAACCCATACTTACGGTAACACTGCCCGTCGGAACGTACGAAGTGGAAGATTTAAATAATTATATTGCCGAACGGTACAAAAAAATTTCATTTCAATACACAATTATTGAAAAAAATGAAGATATAAGAGTGACTTCGTCGTTTAAACTCGTAGTGAACCACGTGACAATGCATTGTGAAATATCGTGTGGACATCCAATTGATTTCACTCGACCATGATCTTTTTATCGTTTATTGGGTTTCAATCCTCGACATTTGGACACTAATAGTATAAACATATCGGATTATCCAGTATCCATAACAAGTATTACATCTATTCGCGTAGACTGTAATGTTATTGTAGGTTCATTCCACAATGGATCACAATCACATACGTTACATGAATTTTCTCCCAACGTGGCACCAGGCTACCGCATTATAGAGATACCCAGACAATTTGTTTACTACCCGTTAAATACAAACGTGTTGGATACAGTACGGATCGCTTTACGAAATCAAGAAGGATGTCCAATAAATCTCAAAAACGAAGAATTATCAGTACGGTTGCACATTAAACATAAATAACAACAGAGAAGAGAAAATTTTCCATTCAATTTCCATCCACATTCGTTCACGAATGGTTTTTCGTTACATGTGTACAAGTGAATTTCACGATTAACCATTTGTTTGTCAATAACACACAATTACACTTCATATGACGTTGCCGCTGAAAAANAACACACAATTACATTTCATATGACGGTACCGCTGAAAACAGAGTAAAACATGCCTCTGATTTTTACTAACCGTACGCACACTTCAAACGTATCTACTGCGGTAACAGTGAAAAATAAGAAAAAATCACCACACTTAGTGATTGACGGTGTACACAAACATCAGCATCGTGGCGGTGCTTTCATCAAACGGTCTTGGACTGTACAACGAGTAAACCGTGTGCCGTCGTATTCGAAAAAACTGTCAAGTAAAAATATTGCATATCTAAAATTGCTGGGTTGTCGTGTTATCGTCTAAACGAAAAAAACAATGTCGGACTATCTACAAGTTTTAGAAAAATACCAGCAAGATGATAACGTGAAGCGAGAATACTACTTGGAACATCAAAGCTACAACAATTCGTATGGAAACAACGATGAGATTCGCATTGAATTGCGTAATAAGGAAAAATTTACTAANTGAGATACGCATTGAATTGCGTAATAAGGAAAAATTCACTATACCATGCGAAAGTTACTTGCAGATCGAGGGAAAAGTTGAAAAACCGGTTGCAGCCGTCGGTACAGTAGTAATGAATCAAAATTCTATGATGAATCTTTTTGATGAAATTAGATTTGAAATAAACAATCAGACAATTGATAAAACAAAAAATGTTGGTGTAACTACGACTATGAAAGGATACTGTTCGTTCACGCCTAACGATATCGTACGGTTACAACCAGCTGGATGGAAAAACGAAAATAAATTATACAAAGACGAAGACTTCATGGATGACAACGAATTCGTAGCACAATGTCCGCTGTACATGTGTATGGGATTTTTCGAACGATACCGGCGTGCATTAGTGAACTGCAATCAAACACTTATTTTGATACGATCGGGCACCGACAGTTCCGCTATAATGCTCGTACCACCAACAGGAGCGCAAAAAAAACAGGTTATGGCCAAAAGTAATATTGCGTTAATCAAACAGACGAAAGTGAATATTACAAAAATGAAATGGGTCGTGAAGTATTTTNTGAATATTACAAAAATTAAATGGGTCGTGAAGTATTTCGAACCGAATGTAAAAACGGAATTGGGTCTAATGCGTATATTGGATAATAAAAAATGGTTACCGTTAGAGTTTCAACACTGGGACACTGCAGTATACCCACTGGTTCCGCAAACAACCGCTCATACGTGGCCGGTGCGTGCGTACTCAGGTGTTGAAAAACCTAGGTATCTACTCATAGCCATGGTGACGGAATCCGATGGGGTACACGGAAATTTCAACCATTGTTCTCTGCGCAACATTAAAGCGTATTTGAACGCGGACGAGTACCCGTACGAAAACCAATATGCAGATTTTGACAAAGGCAAGTACGCGATATTTTATAACTCGTACCCACAATTTCAATCAATGTACTACGATCGGCTGAACCCTTACCCTTATTTGGATCGGGTCAACTACAAAAAAATCGGACCCATATTCGTCATAGATTGTTCGAAACAAAACGAAACCGTCAAATCGTCCACAGTGGATCTACGTTTGGATTTCGAATGTGTAAATAATTTCCCGCTAAAACTCCACTGTACTGTGTTATCATACACGACTGTCAAATGGAATACAACGCATTTACCGGAGAAGTGCGCAAATTGTAAATTATATATAAATATAATATCAAATAGGTTTATTTTATATTATATTCATTTTAAACAATATATTGTTTAATAATTATTTTGTATAAGATAAATTTATTATAATTATACTTTAATTACTATTATTAATAAAAATAATAAAAGATGTCGACAATTTGATTATGATTTTTATTTATTTATATGTAGATAACAAATGCAAACACATCCACCACTACAAAAACAACCCATAAGCAGCGTCCGTATAGTATAGTAAAATAATGTATACATGTAAAACCGTGTGTAAGGATGTTTAAACGGTGGAGATAAAAGTAATAATAATAATACGCGAATTTTGGAACGGACCCGTGGTGGTCATGAAAATAGTAAAAAATATAGAGGGGCCATCGAAATTGATCTCATACGAAAGACAGATGGGAGATTGGATGAGGGTGACGAACAAAATTTTCAGACCTCTAGGACCAGCCGTTTCTTAGTTACGGGCGATTTATGTGAATTTTCCGAAAATTCACATTTATCGTAAACGCTACAACAACATTAAAGGATAAGAGGGTCCCCGAATTCGCCGTGACATCATATTAACGTCAGAACTACGCCTGACTCAGGGTTCACGCACCGTACACAACGTCATTTTGACGAAGTACGGGAGCACACACCGCTGTAATGTACACATAGCAGGGGACACATACGTCACACTTAGGGCACCACACAGTAGGGATTCCGGTAACTACACCACTTGTGTTTGTGACGTAGACACTGTCATATGGTCGACTAGGGCTGGGTTCCAGCGTACACAGTATGCGACGTCAACACTTTCACTGGGGCCCCGGCGGCATGACAATCGTCACCCGAAGGGGACTCCCATAGGTAACGTCATTTTGACATCATCACTAATGGCACCCTCACGCTAACTTGGCTTACACCGTCGTATACGACGTCATTTTGACGTCATCGCCACTGGTTTGCCTTGGGTTGTCACACAATCAGTGTGACGTCACCAGCGCGGAGTGCATCTCAGCTGTGCACCCATTGTTCTCCGAGAACAATAGCCCATTGTTACGAAAACAATAGGTGACGTCATTGTCGGCACCTTTGAGGGCCAAAACGCATCATACCATTACTACTGATCATGTATATTGATATCTGACAGTGATTAAAATCACTATAAAAAAAACGCTTCTGTCGTAATATAATCGTCACTACTATTTATATGGGATAACACTAAAATACCCTGTTCATGTACTCAACAATGCTATCTTATTAGTATTTACTAGTATATTATTTTTTCATTTCAAATATTCACCACTTCTATCCATAGAAATGGTACATTTTAACTTGTTTCATTATACATTATATTCTTACAAGGACTTGATCCTTTTCGAACAAAAATTTAGATAAACATTTAAGAGAAATAGTCAACAAACTCACACTGTTTGGTGTGAGTTTGTTGACTATTCGTATTATTATTGTATTATTATTATATTATTGTAATGTGACAATAATATGACCTTCAAGCTTTTGGAATAAAACACCAATTTTTTTAAAATTAAACACTATCTAAAGATTTGCATCGAAGCGTTTATTTTTGATAGTGATTTTAATCACTGTCAGATATCATTAAACTTGATCCAACTATACCACGTCACAACTGTGCCGCGACCCCCTCTGTGCTAGGTTTTTGTTTATTTGATGCAATGCCTGTGAGTTCTTATTTTTTGTTTTATTCACATAATTGGATAACTTTTAAAATAACGCATACAATAAATGTCACAAATACTAATATTTTATTGAATAATGTATTATCAAGAATAATAAGTTTACAAATAATTTAATGGTTTTGATTATAAACAACAGGCACAATTAGAGCAAAAATTCAAAGGTGCTTAAATTGTGTTGCCAATTCCAATAGTTGCGCCACCGATTAATATTACGATAAAGAAAATTAGAATAATGTATTGTTATAATTTTATAAATAACTAGTAGATGTAATTTTTTACATAAAAATATTGTCTGATTATAATATTGTATTGTCTGTAAATTAAATATTCCTAATTATAGGAATTATATATTTATTGAATTAAGGCAAAAATTCTGACTTAACATTTTTGGTTTCGTTAGTAAATTGTTCAACTGTTTGCAATATTTGATGTAAAATAGGATTATCAGTAGTCAAATAGGTGTAATACGCAGCAACACAGTACTTTGCAAAAGGTTGATTGTAATTTATGTCTGGTACGTAGTTCATCAATTGGATGACCATAGAATTTGGAGTACGAGTACCAGAGATGACATCATTTAGTAACTTGACAGTATATTTCCGAAAAATTTGGTCATGTTTAATTTTTTGTTTACCTGAAAATTATAACTTTAAATTAATTTAATAATATTGTTTAGATAAAATTAGTTTATTTTTGGTGATTTACTTCTTTCTGATTGTGATGAATAGTATAGACGATCTAAGCACGTTAAAAACATTAGTTAATTTTAGTATATTGAATAGACAGTGATTAAAGTTTAAATACCTGTCATATAATTATTTAAGTCGTTACTATCATATATATTTTGTCCCATAAGGCCATGATATAGTAAGCAATCATTCATTATTTTATTTGCTTTTACAATTCGCAAATATGTCAACATCATCATGTCACCACTTTCCTCGAACTAAAGATATTTTTTTAAATTAAGAAGAAAAAATAAAAAGCAATATAATGAAAATATTTATATTATAGTTTATAATTATTGTATGATAAAAAATATACTTAACTTTAAATAATATAATTTTAATCTTTACTATACTTTTTTTTTCTGGTTAAAAACTTAAACAACAGTTATTTATTTCAAAGAAGGTTTTTTAAACTGACAAAATAAAGTAGAGTTCATTAAAATTGTCATTTTTTTATATCATAATTTTGAAAAATAAATTTGGTAGTCTTGAGAATCATAATGAAACTGAGTCTTTGAAAATAATAACAAATTGAAATTATACTGAAGTGGGTACATACATTTAATATTTTTGAATGGAATATAGAAGAAAGTAAACATTTCTATTCTTGTAACTTGATATTAAATTAACTTTTTAAAATATAACTTATTTTAAAATGAACTGTTACAATAATACAAACAACAAAGATGTTTTATTATTAAAACAAATAAGTTTTCTGCTGCTGAAAATTATAATGAAAATGTGTCATTTTTAATAATAATAAATTTTAGAGAATTAAAATGAAATTAAAGAGTACATTTTATATTAATAAATAATATAATTTTTGGAAAAAAAAATTGAAAATTGCATAATTGTATATAATGTAGGAAATATGTATTTATATTCTTATCATCTGGAAAGAAATTGACTTTATAAAATGTAACCGGTTTTTTATTGAATTGTTAAAATGATATTAAAAAAAAAAAATAGTTTTGTTGTTAAATATTTGTAGTTTTTTACCATGGGCTGTTCTACATCAAACAAGTTTGAGTGGAAAGTAGTACAACACTTTTCAAACTCTTCCGAATTATTTGATTGATCTAAACTTAAGAATTCTAATATTTTGGTACTCATTTCAATTGGACGTTTCATTTTACGGGTTATCATATCACCCCTCAACTTATCTAAATATTTATCAAATGTGTCTGTAAATTATAATTATAAAGTAATTAATCATCTAATTATTTCATTTAAAATACAATAGTTGTAATTTTAAAAAAATGTATAACATTAAAAATAATCTGCATAAATTCACTTTTTTCTTGTTAATTTTTATTTTGGCAAGGAAATTTAGAGGACCATAGAACAAAAACCCAGCACAGTGAGGTCACAGTACAGTGAGGACGTGGTATAGTTGGATTCACTATAGATGATATTTGACAGTGATTAAAATCACTATCATAAAAAAACACTTCGATGCAAAACTTTAGATAGTGTTGAATTTTAAAAATTGGTGGATTATTCTAAAAGCTACTAGATCTAATATATAAATATATAAAAGGAAATGGTCCGATTTAAAAAAAAGTTTGTCGAATAAAAAAATGATATATATATTATATTATGATATAATGATATATATATTATTTCTCTTAATAAAATTATAATAATCCAAACATAATGCAACTTTGCCGTGACATTAACCTTACGTTTGATGAAAGTAAACGACAGATAGTGGAAGGTTTGTTTTCAAGGGATTTATGTCACTACTTGTTTGCTCGTGATCATAAAAACGAAGATGAACTTTTAACTGACATAAGAAACTATGAAAAAATTGATAATACTCGTCAAGACCGTTTCCGAGCCGAAGGATCAATTAAGAGTCGTTACACGCAAGTTACCAGCTCCAGTTTATACTAAAAAATACTTTTTCATATGTAGTTGTATATATTTGTTATTAATATTTTACACTACAACTTCTAGAATCTTTTTTTAAACAAATATGCGTTTTCCAAAAAATAAAATGAAAATAAATAATTAAAAATTAATTAAATCAGTTATAACGTATTTTAAGACTTTTACATGTTTTTTACTGCATGTAGTGTTTCTATGGGTAATACTTTAAAAGACGCTAAAAGTATTGTACATCTGTGATTAAAACGTATCATTTAATATATAATAATAAACAGGTAAAATATATTTAATGTGTTCACAAATTGTCTGCTGCATTTATACGACACAAATTATGTCAGTTGTCGAAAATAACTCATATACTTATCTTTAATAATAATATAATTGGTACTATCTTAAAGTAATTCAGTGAACCAAAATTGATATATTGATACGACAAAATGTAATAATACAAACAATTTTGTTATTTTGTAATTAATCATTAATAAACTGTCCATAAAATAATAAATCTAATATAATTACCGTACTTGGCATAAAAAATTAAACTTCTAGAATCTTTTTTTAAACGAATATGCGTTTTCCAAAAAATAAAATGAAAATATATAATTAAAAATTAACAAAATCAGTTATAACGTATTTTAAGACTTTTACATGTTTTTTACTGTATGTAGTGTTTCTATGGGCTATTTATTGAGAAAACAACATTGAAATTATTATTTTTGAATTTCTTGTAAAATTTCCTTTACTTGAGTTTTACTTTTATTATTCTAAGTTAAGAGAAAAAAAAGTTATGAGACATAGATCAGTTATTTCTATTAAATTTGACTCTTCGACTCAACTTAATAGGCCCGGGGGCACGGGTTAACCTTAACGGATCGGTCCCAAATTTTGCACAGCTCATTTTTTTGACCATTAAAANAAAGCTCATTTTTTTTGACCATTAAAAAAAAATTAAGGGGTAGCTTAAAAAAAAAAAGACATTCGATTTTTTACACATATATAATAACTAGTACTCAATAGTGTAAATGTTATGACAGTTAATTATTTGTTAGCATACAATCGATATAAATATAGATTATTAATTTTTTATTGATAAATGTAAGATACGTAATGCAGTTGTGCATATTACAACAATTTAATTATAATAATCATAATTTATACAGTGTTGATTTCTGAAATTTAAGATCATTTAAGAACATCATCCTACTATATATATATTAAATTGTTCATTGTATAATATATATCTTATTTTAAAATAATATTCGCTATGTTCATATTTAATACAATACACTAAAACTAACTAAAATCGGTTGCCATGATAGGGGTAATTATAAATATTATAAAAAAGTGATAACTTTCAGAGAGTGAGCGAGAGAGAGAAAGAGAGTACTTTTGAAATTCTGGTTTCAAAGTAGAGTTCCAAATTTTCTCTCAACTAACCGCGACCCCAAGTTGTCGTCTGTAGTGCAACGCCTATTTACATTTTTTCGTTTAAAACTTATTTATTTATCCTTCCGAAAATTCGGAAGTAACGACCATATTATCTTTATCATTACAAAATAATTTCATTCATCGATGACGTTAGTCCTTGTACCCAATTATCTAGGGATCGATTCTCATAAAGCATCAAAAGTTGTTGCATTATTTTTACAAACTGATCTTTAAAAATAATAATAGTAATAAAAGATAATTGTTTAGCTATAATAGTACTATGTATTGAGTGCTATGAAAAATAAATAAATCTATTATAAGTCGTAATCATAAACACTAATTAATCTATTACTGATATATTATTAGCTTCGATGCGAAGCTGAGAAGGTATTGGTTTTACTAAGATGTGTTTTTTTTTTTGTCTGTTACCACTTCTTCTCAGCTCTCATCGAACCAATTTCTTTCAATGATACGTCAAAAGATCACAAATCGTATCTATTCGAATACATTACCCTCAAAAATTGAAAAAAAATCCCTCGTTCCCCGTAAATGGGGGAAACCTCCAAAAAAATTACAAATTTAAAAATCGCTAATAATCGAAATTTTTTCAATTTTTTTTACTTAAAACTGCCATAACTTTTTCAAAAATGAACAAATAAATATAATTCTTTTTTATACAGATGCATGATATCATTAACTTTCATTTGGTATATTTTCTTTTTATATGTGACTGTTTACTGGCCCACAGGGATGGATTTAAAATGACAACTTTTATACAAAAAATTAATTTTGTCAACTTGATTTTTGAAAATGTTTCAAAAGGTCTGACACTTTTATATATATCTTAAATTAAAGTTAATGTAATATACTTTATTATGGTAAAAAAAAATTTCGGACTTTATTTTGTCTTCATGGTGAAAATGGCTACCAAATGCTATTATTGTGTGAAAATTCTCAATTTTATTTTTTTCATTTTTAACTTTATAATACTATAACTTATTGAAAAGTGTAAGAATCAACACGGTTTTTTATGAGAAATAATATTTTTTAATAATTTCTTTTTCATTCGACATACTTTATCTTAATTAGGATAATAATAATGAACTAGCAGATCATATAGCTTTTGGAATAATCCACCAATTTTTTTAAATTAAACACTATCTAAAAATTTGCATCGAAGTGTTTTTTTTTATAGTGATTTTAATCACTGTCAGATATCATTATACTTGTTATAACTATGCCACGTCACCACTGTGCCGCGACCCCCCTGTGCTGGGCTTTTTTTTTATATCGGCTTTGTTTGTATATTAAAATTATTTATAATTTTTTTGCTTATACAATTATGAATACTTTATCAATTTTATAGTTAAATTTAAAAAAATAAACTCATTACGGTGAAGTCCAGTATAGATGATATCTGACAGTGATTAGAATCGCTATCATAAAAAACGCTCCGATACAAATCTATAGATAATCTTTAATTTTAAAAAATTGGTTAATTATAAAACAAAATTAACTCCTATTTCTATCTCTATTTTTAATTAGTAGTTTGATATATAATAGTAATAGATAATAGTAGATAATAGAATAATGAAAGATAATTTACTAAAAATTGGTAGATTTTTCCAAAAGTAACATGAACTCCTATTTCTTCATTTATAGCCTGATTAACTAGTTTTTTGATTCATAAATATAATTTATGAATAAATATCTATTAAAGTAATTCAACGTAGTATGAAATCGAAATTTAATAATTTAGTATTGTAATTTTTTCGGAGAATTTATAAAAAATGATAAAGTAGTTATTTCTTTTATGGTAAACGTGTATAAAAATTGAAGGGCATGATACAGAACTTTTTAGATTATATTTTGTTGTTAATTATGAATAAATGCAAAAAAGATACTTTTATTATTCAATTTTTCGTGCTAATTTCAAATGAGCAATTATATGATTTCCATCACTAATAATTTTTGATGTTATTACTAATTAGTTAAAAACTATAGGATATAGCTATAAGGTAAATAGTTCTGAATATTTAAATTGTATCATCTATTTAAACACCAAGACCTACATATAAATTATTAATATTTCTTTTGAAATGATTTATTACGATAAAAAAGTAATTAAAAATACAAAAAATTGTTTTTAAATATTTACAGACATTGATTTTTAATATTTTTAAAATAATCAGTACAATATATCATCTATTACCTATTTTTTTTGGTCTTTTAAAGTTAATTTTTTGAAAGTTTATAATAAAAAAAATTGAATATTTTACCTTAACCTTTAGCTCAAATTCTAGTTTGAAATTTACATTATTATAGAGAACATTTTATGAGAATAAATAAATAGTATTGTCAAGATTAATATGCAGTCAGAAAATTGTATAATTACTATTTACTGTAAATTTATTAGAAAATCTCAATATTTTTTTTGCATTTTTATTGTAATATATCAGTTAAATAGAAATCATAGTAATAATTTCTAAATAACTTATGGTGTTTAAAAAGATTCTACTACAATTAAAATATTTAGAACATAATTAATTTTAATGATTTAATTTAACTAAAAAAATCTACTTAATAGTGTGTATTATAAAATTTGATTATAGTTAGTAAAATTCCATTGTTAAATTCAGGTGAAACTAACAATAATTTTTTTTAGATTTATGATTTATATAGCAACATTGGGGTGTCCCTTATTTATAAAATTTAAAAACTACAAAGTGCCACCCCCTAGAATTATTCGAATACATGAAAAAATAAATTGTACGAAATTTGGAGACGATTGGTCAATTCTAAAACGTACCCTAAGGGGGTTAAAAATAATCCCCCAAGGGTGATTTTTTAGTTTTTTATGTCTATCTCAAAAACTTTAGCTTTTGCGAAAAAGTTTATTTGACCTTTTTTGTAGGTATACAATTTTTCTATAAAAAGTATGCATACAAAAAAAAAAGTTCTTATTTAGCCCTAAAAAAATAAAAACGTATATGTTCTATTCTTACCGTTAAAACTGTTAATTTATAAATCGTTCATTATAAAAACATAAAAAAAATTCATTTAACCGTTGTTTTAAATCAAATTTTCTATACATTTTTAATTCGACTTTTTCCTATTATTTACTATTCAAAACCTACAATTTTTTTTAATTTTAATTAAAAAAAATACATCAAAATAAAATTAATACCGTCTCAGTTTCACATTGAAGCTAAAATAATGTTCACTTACAAATTATTATACAACCAGAAACTGTTTACAAAGAAAAAACGAACTAAAAAAATTTACTACATATTTTAAATATTTTATCTTTTTTTAAATTCTTGGCCTAATGTGTATTTATTGCAATTAGGAAAACAAAGTCGGTATTCTGTAACAATCTATAATATGTGTTATTTTTGAGCTTCGACTTTTGTTAAAATATTATTATACTCTTCTATGAGTTTCACGCCCCTCTCTGCCAAATCATTTATAACTTTTAAAATATTTACTATTATTTTTCCTCCGATATATTGACTGTTGTCTTTCCACAACAAAGGATTGATATTTTAAAAAGCCTGTTTCAATATCATATCTTTCAAACAACTTTTTTGAAATAAAATCATCTATACTTTTATTTTTAAAATCATAAATTTCATTTACTCCTACTACTATACGTTTGTTTGTACATAGATCAAGAAAGAAGTATATTTAATGTATTTATAAAAAAAAAAATTGTGTTGAAACATATAATATTCGAAAAGTTATAGTAATTTAAAGTTTAAAATAGAAAATCAAAAATTTTAAAACAAAAAATAGCATATTTTTAACTATCGCAACCGTTTGCACGTAGAAAATAATTCATCAGGAAAATTTTTTTTTTCAATTTATAGTACGTAATATTAGCTTCAAATTGACATATATTTAAAGCTCAGAGTATTTCCGAAACATTTTCAAAAATTAAATTGTAAAAGTTAATTTCTGTAAAAAAGTTGCTATTTTAAATCCTACCCTGTGAGTAGGTTGAGTGTTTTATTTTCAAAAAAATTATATCAAATACAACAAATATATTTTAGGTTTCAATATAAAAAAATTATGTTAATTATTTGTTCATTTTTCAAAAAATTATGGTAGTTTTAAGAAAAAAAAATAAAAAAACCCAGCACAGGAGGGTCGCGGCACAGTGGTGACGTGGTATAGATGGATCAAGTATAATGATATCTGACAGTAATTAAAATCACTATCAAAAAAAAACGCTTCGATGCAAATCTTTAGATATTGTTTAATTTTAAAAAGTTGGTATATTATTCTAAATGCTACATTATCTGCTAGTTCATTATTAATATCCTGATTAAGATAAAGTATGTCAAATGAAAAAGGGATTATTAAAAAATATTATTTCTCATAAAAAAATAATGTTGAGCCATACACTTTTCAATATGTCATGGCATTATAAAGTTAAAAATGTAAAAAATAAAATCGAGAATTTTCACACAATAATAGCATTTGATAGCCAATTTCACCCTGAAGATAAAATAAAGTCCGAAATTTTTTTTTCGCATAATAAAGTAAATTACATTAGCTTTAATTTAATATATATATAAAAGTGTCAGACTTTCCGGAACACTTTCAAAATTTAAGTTGAAAAAGTAAATTTTTTGTGAAAAAGTCCCCCCTTGTGGGCAGGTTAAGGATTTAATTTATGAAAAAAATATACCAAACGAAAGGTAATAATATTACACATCTATATAAAAAAGAATTATATTGATATGTTCCTTTTTGAAAAAGTTACGGCAGTTTTTAGTAAAAAAAATTGAAAAAATTTCGAAAATGAGCGATTTTTAAATTTGTAATTTTTTTGGAGGTTTCCCCCATTTACGGGGAACGAGGGAAATTTTTTCAATTTTGAAGGGTAATGTCTTCGACTAGACACAATTTGTGATATTTTGACGTATCGTTGAAAGAAATCCGTTCGGTGAGAGCTGAGAAAAAGTGGTAACAGACCCCAAAAAAAAAAAAAAAAATAAACACATCTTAGTAAAACCAATACCTTCTCAGCTTCGCATCGAAGCTAAAATATCAAAAATTACTGATTTTTGAAATTGTAAAAGATTTTTGGAGATTTCTCTCATTTACGATGAACAAGAGAATTTTTTTCAACTTTAAAGGGTAACGTCTTCAACTAGATACGATTTGTGATATTTTGACGTATTGTTGAAAGAAATCGGTCTAGTGAGAGCTGAGAAAAATTGGCAACAGACACAAAAAAAAACACATCATGGTAAAATTAATACCTTTACAGCTTCGCATCGAAGCTAAAAATATATGTTATATAAAATTAGTAATCAACATGATTTGAATTATTCTAAATTTATAAGAATTTCAATGTTATTTAACTGCCTTACCTTTTTTTTTATATATGTATTCATTTATATTTAAATTAGAAGTGCAATTATAAAATGCTTGTTGTGCTTTTTCTAAATTTTTTACTGACCACTCATCAATATATTTAACTTGTTTATGCACTGCTGATGTTGAACATATTAGTCCCTATAAAAAAAAATAAGTACAGTTTGTATTATGCATGTGCAAAATCATGTAGATTAAAATCTGTCAATGATTAACAAATCATGTGGTCGTTTATGATGAATAATAAATCACTTCCATACGAATATACTTGAAGATTGTTAGATAAATAATTTTTTGTTTTTAGAAAGCATTTTTTGCAGTAAAAATTTTGGAGGCAGTTAGTAATAGAAGACAAATACGGGATATTTTTTTTAATTTAAAGTACATTTAATAAGCTATTATTTAGTATAGAATATAATTTGTTCGCCAACGGGATTCTACCAAAACAGGTGGCCCGTATGACTAAAAACAAATAATAGAATACTTAAACAATAAATAGATAACCAAAAATTACAATTCGTACATTTATTATTTTTATGTATTATAAAATAATATAATTCTTCAAACTAGTCAGCCTACAAGAAAAAAAAAGAAAAGAAATGACAGTTCACTGGCCACGTGACATTAATTAGTCACAAGATAACTTAATGAGAGACTAATTTTTTGATTATTTTTATAATTTAATAGATTCGTATGGGAGCGTTATTTTGTGATAGTGAAGTTTATCAATATCAGATATCATCTATACTTGTCCCAATTCTGACGTGACCTCAGGTAGCTGTTTTTTTTACTTACAATAGACAGAATTATTTGAAATTGCAAATACATATTTTTTTCCAAAATAATAAATCTAGAAAAAAAATGTTTGATTTTCTATTTTTAATAATTCATCATATAAATGATTTATAAGACTAGTGCATATAAAAAAAAAAATAAGATACTATGACAGGTTATTATTTATTTTAGTTAGCTGGATTACTATTCGAAGCTTCAAATTCTTCTATAGTATTACACTGAAATAATTAGCTCATGATTTAATACAACTAATAAAATTAGAATTAAATCTGAATTATTATAATATGGGGCTCTAAAATTGTATTAAAAAAAAAAATTCTAGTGTATGAAACCAGAAATTTAACATATTTTATTATATTAGATGTGTCATGTGCATACAACTCGCAATGTATACCGAGTGTTTCAAATATAACTAACAACTCTTATAAGTTTTTATACAATTTCGTTGCAATTTTTTTAAACTGTTTTCTCAGTTTTAGATAATATTATAATCCTATTTTTATTATTAATCAATTTTATATATAGATAAGTGACACTTTAATATGCTTGTACTATGTTTACACAGATGAGTAACTCTGCCTACACTACATACCCATTCAATGTATTAAAATTTTTGTAACTCGATAAGTATTTGTTATAAAATTATTATTGATCCATTAAAATATTTCCTAAGTTGACTGTTTTTAAATTTTAAAAAAATTTAAGAATAAAATTAATTTTTAATTATTTTAATACTTAAAATATATAATAAAAAATATGATATTAACGTAGTCTATGTATGCATAAATTATTAAAAAAAAAAATTACAATGCATTTTTAATTGTATCAAAATTTATAAGAGTTGGCAGTTAGATTCCGCCTGTATATAATAAGTTTTTATAGCATAGTTACCTGAATAACCGAATATTTAAATTGTAAAATATAATAATATATACTTCATTTAACAAGTAAAATAAATTCGTTCTTTTTTAACGTATTATATATTGTTTTTCAAAGGACATTAATTTTTTTTAAATATCTAAATTTATACAACACAAACCGATAATAAAGTTTTAAAATAATTTTTCTTTTTAACAAATTTTTTAAACTATATTATTACGTCATTAATAAGGCGTAGTGAATATATTTTTATACATAGTGTGACGCGAAAAATTGACTTACTATTTTTTAATAATATTAAAATCTAAAAGATTTTTAATTAATACACACACACACACGTATATATATTTATAAATACTAAAAAAGTGGTAATGTAATATTTTATTCTGTGGCTGAGATGTTAAATTAGTGGTGAATCAAAATCTCAATTTGAACATTAAAATTCATAAATAACTCAATTAAATTGTCCCTAGTAATTTATTATTACACCCCCTTCAATTTTTTCTTGTTATACAATAAAAGGTTCAAGACAAACTTTTATACAACTACATAAATTGCCCTTCATATTATAATTGATAAATGTAATGCTATATCAATATTTTTGATTAAAATTTTATTGCTATTACATATTCATAAAACATTTTGTAATTAGAATTTATCGCATACAATCAAACTAAAAGAAAATGAAAGGAAAAGGGAATCCTTGTATTAATCTATTTTATTTTTATATGTAAGGTTAAAATAGGAAAGTAACTTTAAATGCTCTTTCAAAATATTTAAAATATTGATATTAGTAGACTAGAAAAAAAATATAAGGTTACAATTATAATGCTGTATCAATATTTTTGACTAAATGTTTATTGTTACCTATTGACAATGAATATAGTTGCTTGTTATCTGTTTAGAATATTACAATTTTAAGCATTCATCTCGTTAATGTATGTCTTCAAGTAAAATATTAACAACAAACAAAGTTGTTAATCTTTGAATGATTACTAGAATCACCGATTTTCAAAATAATAGACTTGAATAATTATTTAAAAGTTCTAAAGTATTATCTATAAAAATGGATATTGTAACCGTGTTTAAAAAAAAAAAATAACAGGCAAAACTAATAGATCTCGAAGAATCTACACATGACTAAAATATGGTTTTTAAAGAAAATTTTATTATTAACTTAAAAAATGTCTATGACGTCTTAAAAATAAATACCTAATGTATGAGCTGGAGTTTTGATACTCTCAGTCAGGTATCTTCAAATTTTTAATTTTTAAAGGGATCTGGTCTCGTTGAAAGAGATTCAAATGATTTAATTAAATTTGCTGATCTTCCCATAAAATATGACGGAAATCTTGGATTTAATACACGAGAACTCAATGACAGACAATTTCCTGAATATTTGTGTTGTTATTTATTTATACTTAATAATGTCTTATGCTGCATCATCATGTGAACGTAATCTCAGTAAACTCAAATGAATTAAAATATACTTGCGATCCACAATAAACTAAAACACAGACTGAAACAGTTATTGATAATTTTCCTGCAATGAAAAATACATTTTTAAATATTAAAATTAGCATTTATTAAATTTGGAATATTTTAATTCATACAATTATACCATTAGTATTAATTAATATAGTGTAATTTTCAGTTCTTGGCGCCGTCAAACATCGGACATATCAGTTGGCCACACTGTGTCGTATTATCAAGTATATATACAGGTTGGGTTGGGTTACCTAAAATTACAATTTTCCCCTTCAGATACATATGAAAGAGCAATATTAGAATCATTCTGGTCGTTTTTCTCTATAAATTAAGACAAATAAAGGTTTTCTGTACCAGACAGTTTTATGATTGTGCTTTCTATAATTTAGACATTTTTGATCATTTGGTGTTTTTATCTAATGTTCTCTGTTATAATATATTTTTTTTAAATAAAAATTATGTTCTCTTTAATTATTTAATCGGAGTGCCTGTTTAATAAGTGCATTTCGAAAATTACCTTGTTTATCCAGCAGTTGAAATTATTGGGAAAAATAGTTTGTGACGTGTCAGTAGATTAATTCTCATATGCTGTTATTTTTTTTCGACAGCAGTTATAGAAACCGTTAGGACCGTGTATCAACGAGTATTATCTCCGATGGGGTAGCCTAAAGACAGATAGTTACAGGCAGGTTGTCTTTAACTATGTTATGTCGTAATATGTCCAATGCTTTTTTTTATTTCCACGGTTAACATGATGTTGGCCGCCCTGGAACTACTGTGAGGTATTGCTTCAGGGTGACCGACGTCGCTATAAAATTAACAACGTGGTGTGGCCTCCCCCGTTAGCCGAATCTTGGTCCTGCGGGTACCAAATATCACAATGCCTAGCGCCTGGAGGTCGACTTTTCCATCACCGTCTTGATGACGGTCGCATACTTTTGGTCCGCGGGGCTTTCGCCCTTATAATGGGTCTCCGCACCGCGGGGGGGAGCCCAGGGTTAGGGCGAGGGTCCACCACCGGTTTCGGAATCTTGCGTCTTACGACCTCCGACCAGGCAACCGGCGCTACCGCGGTTTGAAGCGGTGGTTCCGGTGCGCACGGAGCAATAGCAGTCAGCGGTTTGGGGCCAGTTTCCCCTCCTGCGTTACCTCTTCGCTTCTTCCTCCATTAATTACGGACTCGTCTGTCAGCCCTCGCAGTGGATGGCTGGTTGACAGGTGCCGCAATCTTGCCTGGATTCGTCAGCACGGCGGACTCGGTGTCCCGGTCGTCGACACCGATCGTAACCGTGGTCACGGAGGGGTCCTCCGCAGTTTGCGTGCCCGCCTCTTTGGTCGACCCATTGAGCAGGGCCGCAGTTTTGGGGGCTTGTAGCCCGACTCTTCCATCAGGTGGGGCCTGATGGTCCCCATCGCTGGACGGCGGCCTTCTCTTTTCCCTCACCAGTATCGCTTCAAGTTTCTTCGTCGCTTCCTGGACCTCCCTATGGACTCCCATACCCCTCCGTTTGTCGATGACACCACGAAGTACTTTAACTTGGTCGGCGACTTCATTGACCATGGTCGAAGTCACAGTTATTTCCTCCGTAGTGTCATTCCTCCTCTTCCGGCGGGGCTCGGCTGAGCTTCTTAGCTCGGTCAAAGCCTGGCATGACAGGGATATTTGCTCCAGAAGGAATGCCAAATGAGTTTCTGGCACCTCCTTCATGAGGCTCCCTTCTACCTCCGCGGATCTGGAGAGAGAGATAAGGTGGTTGAGGCCAACGTCAAATATCTCCTCATCATCACTCTCGTCCTTCCGTACTGCCGCTCTCCTCTTCCCCGGATGACGCTTTGGGGGCGTCTCCTCCCGGAGTGGACTAAGTGCTGGAGACTCTTCCCGCCGTAGAGCACACGTGCCTTCTTCTCCTAAAGACGGCTCCGCCTCCTTCCCGCCTGATCCGTCTCCGGCACGCATAGCTTCATCCTCACCTATTGTATGCGCATTAATTAATTCGGGCGGACTACGTCTCTCCACGAGCGAGTTTCCCGACCCAATACCACCATTCTGGGCTAGCCAGTTGGCATAATTATACGCCTCGATGGCGTCTCTTAGACCCATACCTGCGGCAAAGAGAGTGAGATTACTCTTATGCCGAGATAGGATCTCGGTGAGAGCAAGTCAATCGAATGGACTGCTTAATTCGCGGCTAACCTGCATATCCTAATGAAAATATCAAAATTTCATGATTACTGCGTATACATATGATGATAATGTGTATACATTACAAACTTGGCATTAATACCATGATAAAAAATTAGATAAGGCAATTATTACTTATCACTCTTATTCAAAAGTATATTGAAAAGATAGCGTTTTCTTCTGTCCTTTTCTCAATACGTATTTCAATGTTTAATACCGTACAATAATACATGAAAATTCAAATTTTCACAAACTTCAAAACGCTACAGAATATTTACTACTGAATATTAATAAGATATTTTTTTACTAAAATTTTTCTTAAATTCTACTCTACAAAATAGCTATCTTAGATTTTTTTTTTACATTTTATTTAAAATTTAAAAATAAATAATATTTTTAATAAAATGTAAAAAAATTAATTATTGAGATATATCTATAGACCTAACGTATAACTATTATTTAAAAAAAAAATCTGCTAAAAATATTAACTGGATCAAAAATTATTTAAGTTGTCAGTGAGTGGTGGGCCACCTGTATATTATATTTATATATCATAAAACTTGTAATCAGAATATAAATAAGGAAATAGAAGATAATGTTGCTTTTGTATAATCCACCAATTTTCAAATTAAATACTATCTACAGATTTGTATCAAAGTGTTTTTTATGATAGTGATTTTAAGCCGCGTCCACGCTGTGATGAATTTTTTTTATTTTATACTGCAGTCATATATTAAAGTATTAATATATTTTTATTTTACCACCAATACTATTTTTAATACACTCAAAATCTATTATTATTTTATGACAAATGGTTGGTAACACTATTGTGCAAGTTTGCTTGATTTTTCTTAAAAAAAAGAATACTAATTTTGGGTATTTTCCTGGATTGGCGTAAAAATTATTATTATTATTATTTTTTTTTTGTTAAAATGATAATATCCAACTGGTTAAAATGATAAGTATTTCAATATATTTTTATTAAAACTTAAATAAAAAAATAATTTAGTACATTATCGTAATTTTAAAAATATCGTTTTATTATAAAAGACACTAGAACCTGAAAAAGTAGATACTTTTTGATTCTAACACAAAGTAATTTATTTTCCTAAGTAATAAACACGGGTTTAAAAATTGGATACGACTTAGAATCGAATTCTTAGTTATTTTGTATTCAATTTTTAAAATAAATTGTTTACATATTTTTTTCTACTTGTCTGCTTTATACTAACACTCAAACACTTATTAAGTAATTTAACTTATAATAATATAATATTAAAATTATTAATTATTAAATTATTATTAATTATTAATTATTAATTTTTAATCAGAATGATATAATTTTTTACGATAATATTTTTTTTAATTTGCAAAAAAGAACAAACCAATTGGTTTATAAATTTAGATTAGATAAAATTTACAATTTAATTTATTTTGATATCTTTGGTTGTTATTTTCAATACTAATTAATTACTTCTTATTTAATTATATAATTAGTTAACTGTTACTGAAATTTGCATAATACTTGGCACATTGAACAATAAGTTTGTATGTTGTATTTAATGTAAGCGAATTTTTCCGGTAGTTTTTTATTTTAAAAGATTAGTTATATTAAAATATTGATTAATTGTTACAAATGAACCTCTGGCTGCTGACCACTTTATTTCACTTTTACCCTATGCATACTACTTCTAAATAAGTTATAAATTCGAATATTTGAATGAACAATTCTAAATTTTTCAAGAGTAGAGCAAATTATAGATTATGTGTTTTTATTAACAAATTATTGGTAAAGTGTTAAAAATTATTATTTTGTGTAATGCTATATCAACTAGCTGGTCTTGACATTATAGTTAAATAAGTGAATGACTTTGAATATTTGATTTTTTACACTACTAATTCATATCTCAGAAGTTCTTAATAGTTAATCCATATTTAAAACCTATACTCAGCTTCTATTTTGTAGGCCTTATTAGGACTAATATTCAACTAAAATAATTTTTCAAACTCATTTACAACAGAGAGAAATTTTAAAAAATCACGATTTTTAATTTTCACTATTGATTACTCAGTCAAGTGAATCAATATTTTATTTTTCTTGAAATAAAAACAAATAATTATCATATATTTAATTCTATTTTAGCATACTAATTTAATATCATTGGTTTCGTTGATATAATATTCAATTAATTTCAATAACATATTTAAAGAAGAATTATCAGTGACCATATAAGTGTAATAAACAGCAGCACAATATTTTGCGAAAGGTTCTTTGTGATCACTATGATGTATTTTCCGCTTTATGTTGATAACCATTTCATTTGGAGTTTTAGAATCAATAATGACCTCATATAGATTTTTGATTGTGAATTTCCGAAAATTTGTTTTGAATTTCATTGTTGACATATTTCCTGAAAATATTAATTTTATATTAATAAAATAATATTTTTTTAATAAAGTTAAGTTTATTTACTTCTACTAGTTGGTGGTTCTGTTTGGCCATAGAGTCCTAAGCATGTTAAAAATGTTAGTTAATTTATTTTTTTTGTATAAATAGTGTCTAAAATTTAATTACTTTTCTCCACTTTATCAACTTCTTGTATAGCGTTATAGTTTTCTAGGCAATCATACATTACATCAAATGCTTTTTCAAATCGTAAATACATCAGAACATTCAAATCGTCAGTATCCTCGAACTAAATATGTTTTATATTATTAATAAATATAGTTAAAAAAAACTAAAAAACACGTTTTGAAAGCACATCGAACTTAAAATTATTTAGTTAAAAAAAACTTTTTAGTTCGATGTGCTTTAAAAGAGTGTTTTTTTTAATTATATTTATTTTTCAATTTTTAGTTTCATGTTATGATAGTAGTTACTATCAATATCATGGTTGTAACGAGTAAAGGGAAATCAGGGTTCGATTCCGAGGAGGGAGTCTGAGAAACTGCTACCACATTCAAGGAAAGTAGTGGGCGCGCAAATTACCTACTCACGGAACGTGGAGATAGTGACGAAAAATGACGATACGGGAATCATCCTTTGTAATCGGAATGAATACACTTTATATCTCTTAATGAGAATAAAGCGTGCTAATATATAAATTTTAATAGTAATTAGAATATATATATATACACGTAAAGCGACTTATGTATATAATCGTATCATGCACAAGGTATAGCTGTGTTTTGTGGGCGAGCGGGGCACAGGGGATCGTTGTACACGAGACATATGCGGAGTCTGTAGGAATATATATATAGAAATATATATACATAGTAAGGCGAAATAAGTACGGAAACGTATCATGCACTCGATATAGCCGTGTATTGTGGGCGGGGGGAACGTTATACCTTAGGTATAAACAGCTGCAGCGGCGGTAGGAATATATAAATACATATACGTAAGTAACATTACATGCGGGTGGTATTGGTCAGTCAAAATAAAAATTTGTTTTTAACACCCTTATATTAGTTTCACCTGTATGTATGATTGTAACTCTCCAAACGCTACGCGTTATCGCATATTCCGTCGTCTAAACTAGACTGTCATAACGCATTCACCCCACCCCTCGCCACGCTCAACAAACGCCGGCAATACTATTCCTGTATAAATTTATTTTTGGTTATCGTACCCGTACACACGTGCGTGTCATCAACATTGTTACAAACAATGAGAACAATAGAAACCCGTTTCCTGACTTACTGAACACCCTGTATATTCCTACCGCCGTTTATACCTCAGGTATAACGTTAGTCCGACCCGTCCGCCCACAAACACGGCTATACCTAATGCATGATACGTTTACGTACTTAAGTCGCTTTACATGTATATATACAGGGTGATTCATTAAAGGCTGATTTACACGATGCCAGTTGTTGGCATGCCAGCTGGTATGCTAGCTGGAAGGTCACTGGCGTCTGTCAACTGGAATTGGCAACCGACTGGCGCCTATCGTTTACACGATGCTGGTTACTGGCAGACACTAGTAGCTAGTGGTAGTGTATTATCAATTCAAGTACTGAGTTGTAGTGTACACGTTATCACGTCTTGTATAAAATATAAACATCGTCTTATAATATTTTAATATAGTTATGGCGGAAATAACATACAGCGATACATTTAAAAAAGCAGTGTGTTCTATTACTACACTATTGTGTGACGAGCTGTTGGAGATATGTGAAGAAGAATCGAAGAAGAGAAAAAGAAAAGTTTGGGTTAGAAATTGGATGGATAAAAAGAAATATGGAGCATCAGAAACAATTATAAGAGAACTTAGAGACAATGATCCACTTGAATTTAAGTCTGTTATAAGGCTAACACCCGAACAGTTTGAAGAGTTGTTGCTTAAGATAAGTCCAATCATAAGCCGTACTGACACTTTTATGCGCCCAGCTTTATCTGCCAGGCTAAAGTTAGAATTAACCCTAGCATTCTTGGCCTCAGGAACAAACTCTAGAATACTGTCAGTAATGTTCCGCGTTTCCAAAGCATCAATTTCAAATATGATACCTGAAGTATGTGATGCTATCTATTCAGTTATGAACGATTACATAAAAGTAAGTATTTATTTACAAAAAAAAATAATATACTTTTATTATTACTTTTATTTTATTATTAATCTTCATAATTATTACACATTCATAATTTATTAAACTTAATAAAAAAACGATTACATTCATAATTTATTAAACATCATAAAAAAACGATTACATTCATAATTTATTAAACATCATAAAAAAACAATTACATAAAAGTAAGTATTAATTTCCAAAAAAAAT